ATCTGTGGGTTTTGGAGGATGTGGTCGTTTATTCCTATTAACTTGCAGGGAAAATGTAGAAAAAGCATTTGTATTATTTTTCTGGGGCAAGCATTGGAAGAACAGATGAACAACGGAGAAGGCGAGTTACCTGATCTGATCCTCAGGGAGAGGGTTTAAAAAGACTGAATTGCATACAGATTGCTTGAATCCCAGGTCATGTTGTTGACAGTCCTGCTTTAGACAGCAAGTATATTTATGGTTTCTTATTTCAGTTCTCTAATCAAATGCTGACATTTTTTGTACTGTCCGCTCCAGAGAGCCGCAAGACTCTTTTTTTGGGGGGAACCAGGACTGAGGGATACAAGAATGCAAATTGAGAATTTGAAGGTTAGGACAGCACAGGGATATCAAAACTGAGACACTTTGGCCCCTCTGGGATATGAACCAAAGACAGAATTAATCATGAACTGGGGAGGGGAAAAGGCAAGGGAATCTGCATCTTGCAGAGCTGCCCATGTGAGAAATTTTCACTATGGCTTGTTCTCCACTTTTCGGCAGAAAATCCCTTCCTCACATGGAGAAAAGTGTGAGATTGGAGGATGCAACTGAGATGCTGCTGGAATGTGCAACTCTTCTGGAATTACAAGGAGAAGGGGTTTAGCTGTGTGACAAGGATTGGAGTTGCGTGGTCTCTGGGGTGGAACAGGATGTGGTGGTGTTTGCACGGCACTGCTGAGGGGCGTGGGAGAGATGTGCAGAAGCAGGAAGATACCACAGATTGGCAGTGAGCAGCATGCCAAGGAAGATTTTAAAATTATAGATGACCTGAGAAGAGGGAGGAAGATAAAATCTGCTTCCTTTAGAAAACTAAATGCTCGTACAGTAGCCAAGTGTGAAAAGAAAGAGGAGAGTCAGAACCACAGGATGTGATGGCACCTCTGAGTATCTGCCTCAGGCAACAGACAGAGACAGACAGGAGAGGAAAGCAGTGAAGTTTCCCCCAGTTTTCTCTCTGGCGATTATGATGGCGTGCAACAAACTCAGGAGGTGAAGAAGAAGGAAAATGCTATGCCCAGTACTCTCAAAACAGCCCTGATTGTTCCACTGCTGAAATCCTTTGCAGGCAGCACACACATCCCTGACTCACAGCCGGCTTCCACCCCACACCTCCCCAGCGCATCCTGCTGCAGTGCAGGAAGTAGCAGAAACCTGCTATATAGAGCCAGGTGAAGCAATGCCAGTAGCATTTCACAGTATTTGCATTCTGGTGAGGTTATTGACAACTCTGTTCTTTTAGGACAAATGTTAACAAAAAATTCAACTTAAAAAGAAATTTGGTTTAAAAATGTCTGAAGGCTGATGCCCAAATAGGTATTTAACAGAATGGTAACTTGAACCTATTGTAACTAGGCTAAAACATTCAGCTACTCATTTCTTTGAGAGTCCTATTTCCCATGTCTGAATCCATCCCAGATTCTCTTTATTTCAAAAAACTATAGCCCTTGTGGAAGATGGTGCCAAACTGACTCACCCTTTGCCGCACATCTGCAGGACTACTTCTTCCAAATCCTATGGATCATATGGAAGCAGCAGAGGAGATATAAAGCTCTTTGTTGAGTAATACATGCAATCCTGAAGGAAGAGGGGTGGCATAAGGGAGATTTTTTCACAAGCTGCCTCGTGAAAGGACTTTACTTTTGCTTAATGTAATTTCTCAGCTCTTTCACTGCTCTGGGCTTGTTTATCCAGAGCTGTGTAGTACAAATCCTCCTGTTGCAGGAGTTGTCCCACTGCAGCTGTGAAAAGCCCTTTCCTTCTTCACAGGCTGAAAATCCTGGATGCCCAAAAAACCCAAGGATAGAGAGGTGGAGATTCTCTTTATAATAAGTAATTTGCAAAGTGCGTTAGCAGGGCCAGATACATCAGCACGTGAGGGATATTTACAGAGTGGGGAATTGTAGGACTGCAGTTCTTTTTTCCCCCTTTCCCTTTTCAAGTTTTAAAGTGGTGCCAAAAATACTGTTGAAGGCAGGGGTATCCCAGGTTATGGCTAAAGGTATTTTGGAACAGATATAAACAGTGTCTACATATCCATTTTCTGGACAGATTTGTCACCTGAAAGCTCAGAGCAGTGGAAGCACAGTGAGGGTCAAAGACAAGCAGTTCCCAGGCTGACAAACTGGCTTTACTTGTCTCACATAGCAAATAGGAGGGCACAAGCACACCCAGAGCTGCAGAAATTGATGCCTGCTGGTAAATCCTTGCATGGTAGATCTGGTGTAATCAGGAGAGTCTCTGCTTTTGAAGGCCACTGATGTGGGCTCTGCAATGACTGTGAGTTTGATGTATTGCGGTGATAGCCATGCAGCCTCCCAAGTGCAGTGGTGAAGTGTAATGATACAGAAAGCATTCAATTCCAGAAAGGTTGTTATTGACAACAGTTTTGTAATGAGGTTTCAGAGACAGAAGTGTCTCTGACAGAAGAGACAGACTGAGCCTTTGTGTCCTCACAGTTTGATTACCTCAAGATTTGTATCTGACATCCTGCAAATATCCACTGCTGCAACAGTGCTGGTCCTGCACATTCTCTTCAACTCAGTGACGTGGATTCCTAGAACTTCTTCATACTGTGATACCCCTCCCAGCCTTACACCCCAAATCACTTATCTGTGCTGTAAAAATGCCCAACAACTGGAAGACCGAATCATAAAATCAGAATGGTTTAGGTTGGAGGGGACCTTAAAGATTATCTCATGTCAACCCTCCTGCCATGAGCAGGGACACCTTCCACTGGACCAGAGAGACAGGCCAACGTGCAGAGATGGACAAGAAAGCAGACACTCAATTTTCTTGGCAAATGTAGTTAAAAAATGGCAATACATAGAGAAACAAAACATGATGTATGGACTGGGCTTTTCAAGGAAGCAAATTATCAGTACTTCTTTTCTCTGTGAGTCTGCGTCATGAAAAGTCTGAGGGTGGCTCAAGCTGAGCATGAGTCAGAGGATTCTTCTCAGCATTTTGTAGGTTGTCCTCTTACACAGAGAATTTTCTCATTATCTCCTTTCTACCCTCCACTGAAATGAGGATGCTACTTGTGTCTGATGATCTACTTGCTTCTGCAGAGGAATGTGAAAGCAGTGATGATATCTCAGGGCTAGATATTTCTGCTAAGTAATTTATATTAATTTCTGTCATCTCTGAAAAAAAATTCAAGTTATCCAAAAGAACCCTTATTAGGAAAGATTTTGAAGATGAAGATTACTATAAAGACTGCAGGAATTAAAGCAGAACAGCAGGCCAGCAAGGAAAGGAAGACAGCAAATTCATGGCAACTCCAGTGAAATACCATCCATCTGCCTTCTGTATAGAAGCATGATCAAACTGAATTACAGGCTCAGGTGACTTTGCCACTTTTCCTGGAACACAGAATGCCTTGGAAAACCCATCAGCATATGGGATGAGAAATAATATGATGATACTTACTATAGAGAGCTACTGAAACATACTAATTGTGAAGAAAACACAGCTCCAGCACAGAAGCCCATTTATCAAATGAGGTTTACACCTTCATTAGGGTGACATCCATTGCAGGTGTCACAGATACCTCAATATAATTGCCCCCAAATTTTGCCCTTGAGGTAGAGCAGACAAAACACCAAGCACACAATTGTGAGAATCAGATATTTTAACTTGGGGCAGCCTAAGCAGTGAAGGGAATGTGACACGGCAGATGAAGAATGACCAGCAACTGCACCAAACTAGTAAATTATTGTTCCAAGGGTCTAAGAAATATGATGAGGCCCACACTCTACAGTGCACCCACCCTGGCTGTGCTGTTCCGTGCCACAACATGGTGCAGAACAGAACCCATTTTTCCCAGCACATCATTCTGCTGAAGAATGGGATTGGGAGCATTTTATAGTCTCCAGGAGGCTTCAGCTCCAAAAGAGCCTCTCTGAAACCAGAGGTACAAATAATTCCGGCATTGCAAGCTGGTCTGATTGTCAGGAATGTTCTGCATCACAGCAGGATGGTATTTGTCTGCCAAAATATCCTTGTAATTCTCTGCTCAATTACCCTCAATAATGGACTATTGCTCTTCTTGGGTCACTCATTTTCCAGGTGTTTCCTCAGGAGTCCCAGGATTTGCCTGAAGCTGAGGGGACAATCATAGCAGTCCATTTTCCCTGAGGTGACTTCTACCATTAAGTGATTCAGCTGTACCTGTCAGGTGGCTTGTTTACTCCTGTAACTCTGGAACTGCTTGAGGACCATTTCCATATCCTTTGGATTTTACTTTTGCAAAAGAGCCTGTGGGAGTTTGCTGCTATGGTGACTCTAAACACCTCTGAACACCTCTTTCCCTTAGGGCTGCTGCAGTGTCACTGCTAAAGTAGCAGCTGCTTTTAAAAGGACAATTTTCTCATTATTCCTTTTCAACTGAATTTCTAGCTATAAGCTCCAGTAAATGTAAAATGTGTAATAAGATGGGTGCTTTACAAATGCAGTGAGGAGCCAAATACCTAAATTAAACGCATAAGCCATAGGGATCACAGAAATTAATTTGGTTTTTCTGGGGGGGGTTTTCAGAGTATTAACTTAAACTTGCCATGAAGGACAATTTTCCCAAATCAAACCAGCTTGCTTTAATCCATTCTTCCTGTTGAGTCCCTGCAGAAATGGGCCCAGAGTACCACTCCGCTTTGTTGTTGCTGGAGAGCTAAAGAGCATAATTTACATTTCTAAATCTGCTAGGAAGGTGTGACAATGGTTTCCATCTAGCAGCTTCACTATAGAAAGAGGAAGATAGAGAAGAAGGAAAATAAGGATGCTGGGTTTGATTGCTCTTATTTTTTTATATACATAAGTAAATCCAGTAACCTTATCCATGAATTATTCCTGACTTATGCTGCTTTAAGTAAAAGAATTCAGATTCTTCAGTCAACACATCTGTTCTTTTATATCCAGGAAAATATAAAATTCAAAAGTCTGTTATAACACCAAGAATAAGCCACTCTCCACCTCTACAGTCTCCATTTTATTGCTGCTGGTTGTGAAGAATCTCTGATCACAAGGATGTAGATGAGGAAAATGAATGGTTCTCAAATTCCGTTTTGGTTGACTAGATGATTTCAGGGTAAAAAGAACATTAAATATACTTACAATGTGCACAGCCCATGAACAGACAGATATAGCTTATATTCCTGAGTACAATTAATACCTACAAAATATACTAGGTATGCAACCGAGCCAATCATAGCTTGTGCTCTTTGTTACTTAATTGGTGGGAAAAAAAGAGAAGTTTTTGGAAGAGCTCTTTCGCCACTGTCTTCTGCTTGATCGTATTTAATAGGCTTTTCCATGTGGTTTTCAAAATATTTGTCTGGAATAGCATGCTTCCTTGTGTTCTGCACATCACTTTCTGCTGTGCCTGTGAAGGGAGTCAGTCTGTCAGCCAATTCACTTCTCACTTTGTCAGCTGCATTTTTCCAGAGATTCTCTGCAACAATAAATCATTAAAAAAAGAGGGTTAAGACTGCAGACTTTTAACAGCAGGTAAAACACAGGATTGACACAAACTCCCAGCAAATCAGGTGAAAGTTTTCTCTGGGTTCTTACAACCCCCACTGCTGCATTCTTTTGCTCTGGAAGTGACAGGCGCTGTAGTGTGGGGTCAGATACTGTTTTGCTCTCAGCAGGGAAAAGGACTTTCCATGAGACTCTTCAGCACTTTCAGTCTTTTTGCAGGCAGCTGAACTAAAACATGAGGCATGCAGCTCTACACAGCTGAGGAATGGTGCCTTTACCCACCCCATTTCAGTGGCCATCCACTATCTCCACACTTTCACCTCCCCTTACATCCAGGCAGATGACACTAAGCACAAAGAAACACCAAACACTGATATAAATGCACTTAGTTCTGAAGTAGAACATGCTTACGAATGGTCTCTCTTCTATTTTCCAGAGCAGAGAACGAGCCATCACTCATCTTCCTTGGAGCCTGTGTTTTCCGGAATATTTTTGGCTCCTGGATCCACGCGTGTTTCATCGCTTCATCGGGAGTCATGCGCAGAGAAGGCTCCCACCTTAAATCCACAGAGACAAATCATTATTCAACTATTTCTGTCTGAAAATTAGTACAAGGTAAAAAAGGTTTAGCCTTGTCTTTTGAAAGTCATGAGGACATTTTTTTGAAAAAAAATAATTTTTATATTTTTATCACAAAACCATGGAAAAATCTTATGTGATCTTCTCCATCCTTCAAAACCTATTTATGTCAGCACTGTGCTGAACAAACCCTATGGAGCATCAAACCATTTTTAATATGCAGTTCCTGGTTCTATTAGGGTGGAGAACCAAAATTTCTTGTTTAAGGTTTGGTTTCTTGCTCCACTGAAATTATTTTCTGAAAATTCTGATTCAACCAGCAAACCAAAATGGATCAATGATTCACACAGACTTGGCAAACAGAGAACACTGAAAGCAACCTTCTTGTGAAACAGAGTGGGATGATTTTTTTCTTCCCTCCCCATGTAACCACAAGTTAGCAGTTTCTTTAGAATTTCTTTAGGAAAGCTCTACTGAACTGCTAGAAACAAATTTGAAGTCACTGCTAAAGAAGACATAGTAAAATGTCAGTAATAACAGTTATACAAATGATGCCATGAGGAAAACAAAACAAACCAAACCCAAAGCACACCACCAAACAATAAAAAACCAAATATAACAAAGCTTTAAAAGGCACAAAAGAATGAAAGCAAAGTCAAAACTAGCTTATTGCATACAATATGAACTCACATTAAGCATCCTTTCAAAAAGTCCAAGAAACCAGCATCATGAGTGTTCAGCACTGTGCTTAGATCCTTGGAGTCTGGGCATCTCTTTTTCCCCTTGCTGTTAGTTATGGATTTAGGAAAACCCTTGGAATCTTTAAAAAAAAAAAAATACATCCTCAAAAAATTACATTAAAAACCTTCACTAAATACTTTAAGAAGTTGCATAAACAGTATCCATGTCCATCCCACTAAAACTCCAGTTTTGCCCTGTTGGATTGATAATCTGCCAGAATTGTGGTGGATTGGTTACTTCCTAGAGACCACACCCTACACTTTGTTGGTTTGTTCGCTTTAAGCAATTTCTAAACCCAAATTATACACAGAGAAATTAATAATGTAAATTAGTTCCCAGAGCCCACTGCATTCCTTTCAGCAGCAACATTTTTAAGGAGCAACTTCTCCATAACTTTGGCAATTAGAGGCCCATAAGACATGAAGAACAGAGCTCCAGGTTCGTTTATAGGCCTCATTTTATCCTTTTGCTTTTCTTCCATACCTCTTCCTGGAAGTATTTTTATCAGCTAGGAATTAGCTAAAGATCTCTGACTCTACTCTCTACCAGAGCTATTAATTAGTGATTGACTACCAAGGAGGGATCCAGCAAGGACAAATAATCAGAAGAAATTACCAAAGAACGTTCTCCTCCTTGATGCAGCCTGGATAAAATCAGCTGGTGGAAGACCCAATACCTTCATAGAAAATTAATTCAAAGAGTTACACCTCATTTCATATGATACACAACAACCAACAAGTGAGATGTGGCATTTTGCCCTCCTTATGAAAAGAAGCTGAATGTTGCAATTTACTGTGAAATGCCTGCAAAATATTACCTTTTATTGCTGAGGGAATTAAGGGATTCCTTAGTGCTGCTGGTACACATCTTCGTATCAAAAATAGCATGGCCAGCAGAACCAGGGCAGTGATTGTCCCTCTCTCTGTGGCACTGGTGAGGCCACACCTCAAATCTGTGTCCAGTTGTGGGCCTGTCACTGCAAGATGGACATTGAGGGGCTGGAGCGTGTTCCGAGAAGGGAACGGAGCTGGACAAGGGGCTGGAGCACAGTTCTGATGAGGGGAAGCTGAGGGAGCTGGAGGGACTCAGCCTGGAGGAAAAGAGGCTCAGGGGGAACCTTCTGGCTCAATTTGGCTGCATTAAACCTCCCTCTGAAAGGCCAGGCTGTAGCCAGTTATATTTCATTATTGCTTGAGGTTCCTCTTTGTTTCTGGTGGTGCAGTTTATCAAATGGGTATGCAAACCAATCCCAAAGGTTACCTCCATGATGCAGGCAAGTTGATCAGCTTCATTTTCCCCTGGGAACAGTGGGTAGCCTGTGTAAAGCTCTGCTATGATACAGCCTAAGCTCCACATATCAACAGCCATAGCATAAGGATGACCAAGAATCACCTCAGGGGAGCGATAAAAGCGGCTCTGAACATAGGTGTACACTGGATCAAAAATCAGACAAGAAGCAAAATATCACAGTTGGGACTGAAATGTCAATTGCAGATTTCACAGAAAAGTGGCATATGTTCAGGAATCATAAATCTGTCTATCCATGGATTGCTCACATAGGCTCTGGAAATATTTTCTTTTCCCATCCTAAAAGTAATGGGTGATACACTTTCCACTGTTCTATTTAGAAACTGTTTTTCAACAGGTTTCACTGAAGGAAATTGTTCTACTAATGCTGTGATTCAGTTTATCCATGTTCATTTTCCTATTTGAAGGTGTTCCATTTGCATCAATCAACAGCTCCTAAATTAAATGCACAGTTCCCACTTCCCTCCCTGTGATACTCATACAAAAAGTACCAATTATAATTTAACCATTTCACAGAGAAAGGCTCTCTGGACCTGACAAACTTCTTGATAAGTGAAATATTTGGATTTTCCTCTTAAGTTTGTTCCAGATAAGCATTCCTGAAAGTGCAATTCTGATTTCAACAGGAGTAGAGAAGCTGATCAGGCCTGGGACAAAGAAAAAGAATGGTAATATCTTACTAGTCTCTACTAGTCTCTACCAGTATTTGCTCCACCACCAGTGGCTGAACAGTTCACCAGGTTCTAATTAGGGGCATAGGTCAATATATTAGCCCAATCCAAGAAATAGTTTTTGCACATTATTTAAAATTAAGAAAGCTTATTAAGAAAATTACATCAACTTGACTTTTCTGCAAACCTCTTTGGTCTTCATAGCAGCTTGATCCAAAATCAATAACTTTGACCGAACCTTGCCCATTGTGGTATAATAGTATGTTCTCCTAAAAAGAAAAAAGAAAAAAAATCACAGGGAAAAGAGGGATTCAGCACAATATTAAGTTAGTGAACACTTGGGAAAATCAGAATGCAAATCACATTTACACTTGTCAGCATAATGAGAGCTTCAAAATTCGACCTCCTTTGGAATGCATTTGCTAAAATGAGGAGGCAGCCAATAATGTGCAATTGTGCAAAGCAGAGGGGAGATGCAGATGGCTGCAGGTGAGCCAGACAGGGCACCAGCAAGCTCCCCAAAACTCAGGGTTGCTTATCTAGTAAAAGCCAAACTGCACTTGGCTTTGTGCTGTGCTGAATTAACCAGAACCATCATTTTCTAAGCACAGAAAGCCCCTGGCCCATGAAGGACCCACACTCCATAGTTCTTCCCTGCACACCTTGCTCCAGACTCCATGCCAGCTCACCCCTCCCCACCTGTGTGATGCACAGGTCTCAAGGGAGGGATAAATGGACAGGGCAGGATCCTATGGATTCTTAGCTGGGTGCAGGTGGGTACAGCACTGGGTTCCTGCAATTCCAGCTGGAGAAGTGATTCTTAAACAGCCAGCTCAGGGATATGTGCGCTGATAAGCAAATACAGCCTTCAGCTCTCTTCTGCACAGCTGAGTTTTATCCTCATTAAAAGTCTGTCTAAATGAAGGATTTCCTTCTCCACTCCTCAGCAGACAGATGGTTACCTTTATCAACCAGTTTTACAGTGATTATATGTCAGGGCTTTGAAGGACTGAACACTTCCCAGGTGGATGCCAAATAAAGATGAAGTGGTTTCCTGGGTAATTAACTCATAAGGAAATGCTTCATGTACCAAGAAGGAGAAGTGCTACTGGTGAAAGTCAAGGCAATGACTGGATCCCACAGTCCAGGTGCTCTTGGCTGTGGTAAGGGAAGTAGCATCCCCTCTCTGCAGCTAGATATCCCTTTGTGCTCATGGTAGGACTCTGTCTCTTATACTGAATGCCTCACAATGCAAGGGAGCTGATCAAAGCTGGAAAACCAGGATTGACTGGAAAACCAGGCTTTGGAGGCAGTGATTACCTAGCATAAAGGCCAGAGAAACTCCATATTCTACTTTATGCTGTGAAGTATCATAAGGAGGCAGATGGGATAACAGATGTGAGTTTCAAGCAACATATATTAATGAAACCGTACAATTGTCGAATGAGAACAAAATTGTCCTTTAATTAACTCACTACATTTTCACTAATATGTTGCTCTATTTAAATACAGACTACACTTATTGATGCTGCCAACGTCATTCCTTGTCAGTGGCTTCCTGGAAACAGATTTCCCATTGACTAATTGTTTTTGGCTAATTGTTTTTGATTCAGATATTTGAGTTATCTTGCAAGCCTCTCTTCTCACTACAAATTGGTCTGGCAAAGATATTGGCAAAACAACAGGGTACAGTATGTGACTTCTCAGAATTCTAAATCAAGACACATTTAGCAAAGTGAGAACAGAATTTTATCCTTTTTATCCTAGCATTTTTACCTTTGAACTTATTTCTTTATTGGTTCATTTTCCCTTTTGAAAAGGAAACAAAGAGAAACTTTCACCTGAACTGAAAATATAATTAAAATCCTTCAGAAATCTCTGAAAATTGCAAAAATTTAAATTTGGGGCTTAAGGAGAATGGAAATGTTTCACCTAGCATGAATGCTTAGCAGATACAACAGAGGGAATTGGATGACGGACGTTCCTCCAGAAACAAGTGAACACCCTAAATACTGTTCCACAGAATTTCTTTGCCATTTACTAGGCTACTTAATTTTATAGTTATGCTTAAGAAATTAAATAGACTTAACAGGATAACCTGAAACAGGCTGCCTTATGAATACTCCTCGCATTACAATGTCCCTCATCTTGAAATACTTAATTTTACAAGTACTTATTTTCTTTAAGCAAAAAGTCATTACCTATTACCTGCATTTGATTCATATTTGCATACATTTTGTCAACCAAATAATCTCATTGAATGCTTTGGTGAATGAACTGTATCAATAGTAATAATCAGTTGATTATTACAGTTGACTGTAGCATGAACATAATCTGAAATAAATTACATCTTCTGTACAAACATCATACTGGGTTTTAGGGTTTCTCCTGACAGTTCCTCTCAATCAATAAAGAAAAGGACAAGATCATTTATTCTGTACAGGATACCAGGTGATGAAATGATTGTACTTACAGGCTTCAGATCACAGTGAATGATTCTTTCCTGGTAGAGCACTTGTAAACACCTCAGCACACAGCGAGTGAAGTGGCGAATCAAAGACAGACTGAAGCCTTGGAAATTGTTCTTTTTGATCAGCTCATACAAATTTATTCTGTGGGGGAGGGAGATGCAGCAGACAGAGAGCAGATAAGAGATTGGGGAAATTATTTTTAAAGGCATTATTAGTTTCCAGCGAATTAAGAGCTTGTCTTCCCACGTGGAGGACTCATGCAGAGGAAAATGACAGCTATTTTCCTCCCTGAGAATGCTGCTCTGCATGTGATACGCACAAACACCTCCCAGATCTAAAGCACATGTAAAATCAGTGAACTTGCTTGCTAAACTCACTGCTGTTAAGCAGCTGTGCTGATTTTCACAGAGAACAATAATCATTCAGGAACCAAAATAAATTTTCTTCTGTCTCCTTTTGCTGTCATTTCTCTTTGCTTTGGCATCTTGAGTAAATCATTTCTGTCTAAAGGTTTTTAACCAGCAGTGTTTCTAGATAACCACCCGCTCAATTCAGTTTTCATTAGGTTTTTTATATCCCTCCTGTGACCCTCACATCTTACCCCCTTCCAGTAGCCCTGCCCAGTAGCCTGGAGAAGGCAAGGCTCTGGAAGATCTCACTGCAGCTTTCCAGTGCCATAAGGGGCTTATAAAAAGGAGGGAGAGAGATTCTTGATAGTGATAGGACAAGGGGCAATGATTTCAAACTGAAAAGGAGAAGGTTTAGATCGGATATTAGGAACAAATTCTTCCCTGGGAGAGGTGTCCTCAACACTAGCACATGTCTGCAAGGACATGACCAACTGGAGCTTTCTGCCTTCCCCACTGGAGTGTCCACTGGTGGCAGGCATGGCCCATTCCTTTGGAATTAAATTTGCCAAGACTTAATGGAAAAGATCACAAATCAAAGGCTTTTCATGGCATTTTAAAGGCAATGAAAATTTTACCAGACAAACATTTTTCTATGACAACCAATCTTCAACTCCTCTGTAAACAGCTAAAGATAGTGGCTATCCCATTTCCTTGTGTGTTTCCATAGCAGCTTTCAGAAAAGATTGGTCTGTGTCTTCCCTGGAGAGGAGTCACCTCTTACCCTGTGTGCCTGTAAGTGACAGACTCACATGCAGCAACAAAGGGATTTAGGTTTCTTTGGGATCAAGCTGCCCATATGATGCCAAATCTTCAGCAGGGGCTGTAGCACATGCAGCGATGGGGGTTTTACTCTAAGGGCTGGGGAAGTACGGGTAGACTGGATAATTCCAGTTTGACTCCCTGATTACAAGAAGGCTGATGAATAAAATGATCTGACTTCTCCAAAATTCTTCCAGAATTCCTCCTAAGATGCCCTGCAGCAAAGATGCATAAAAAGCAAGACGCAGTTTTATTTTTAAATTATTTTATATTATTCATATTTATATACCCTGAAGTTTACCAGTCCTGAATTTACTCTTTTCCTCACAGGTCTTTCGGGGAAGAAGACTTCAATACCCAGCACAGAAAATAAGGGTTGGATCATGTCATTGCCCGTGTGAAGTCTGAACGTGGCCTTTTTCAGTTCACCTTTGGTGATCAAAGGCTCAGTTATGCAGTCTGTATTTAGACAGTGTTCCTTTCTAGCTGCCAATTCTTCTGAAGAAGACATAAAAATTAAATCTTGTAAGGAACAAGATCTACAATTCTCCTCAAGGTGTGTGTAAAGGAAAATGTACTTTACCCCAGCAGTTCAAAGGAGATACAGAAGTGATTGCGAAAGTAGAAGTATTCCTTCATGTGGATGATATTGTGAGTGTCATCTTTGTCTTTCTTCAGCAGAGCATCAAGGATCTTCACTTCTACCAAAGCCTGGCTGTGAAATCTGAAATATCATGACATGGGAATGGTGACATCAGCTCAGGGTAGCATTTCTATTTCTGCAAATGCTACAAACACCATGAGCTTCCTGTAAGCTCAGCAGGTGGGGAAATTATTAAAATGTTTCAATCAACCTTGTAACCACTGTAATTTTGATTTCTTACAGTTGAATCCTAGTCTAAATACACTGGCCTTACAGAACACTTCAAGATAATCTGACTTGTCTGAAAAAATCTTTAAATGAAAAGGTTTCCAATGAGCATCCAGACTAAAATCCTGGTGCTCTCAAGTCTATAGGAATGCTTCACTTTCCTTGAGCAGTGCTGTGTTTCACACCTACCACAGTCAGACAGGTTTTGAAAAGCATCTTTACACTTACTGTTCACTGAGGGGGAAAATGGAACAGCTGAACATCTGCTTCACTGACTCTGCTTCAAGCTCACAAATTTGTAACCAGACACTTAACAGGAACAGGTTGCTTAGGACCACAGTACAGAATTTTTCATGTTCAAGCAAGTGATGGGTGCCTTCCAGCATATTCCTGTGGTTTTAGAGTCTTGTGGGGATGTTCCCTGCTCTCAGTCCTCTGCAGCTGGTTACCCTGGGTTGTGTATTCACTGTTATAGAGAGACCTCCTTGTGAGCCTGGAGAAACTGTGCTTTCTTTCCTAGGCTGTCTCTCCTCTGTGTCCAGGCCAGGTCCTGACATCTTGTTTCCTCACTCTGCCCTCACTGTGTTTAATGAATGTACAGGAGGTTTGATTTTGGTTTGTTCACCTTGTCACAGTTTGCCTCTATATAACAGGGATGATTGTACTGGTTTAAGGTCAGCAGGTATCTCACCTTTTCTTATTCCTTATTATTTTCAATGCCACTAACTCATTGGTTTTGTGATCCAGACATTTGGCCACCTGCCCAAACGACCCTTTCCCAATGACCTCCAAGACTTCGTAGCGGTAGGCAATGTGGTCATGTAAAACCTTCAAAAGAACACAGAGTTCAGATTCAAAGAGTACAGCAAAGACCAGGCTTCCTTGTAGCTCATGTGTGTGTGAGTCTGCTGTCCATGACAGATGGTGGGTTAGCTGCAGGTGAAGTCTACATCAAATAAGGGTAACAAAGACAATCCAAAGTGATGCTTCCAGAGCTCACCTACCTTGCATCAGCCCTGCATAACATGCAAAGTGACTTCTCCTCTGAGCTTTAAAAGGCATGTTTTCACTATGTGAATATTTATCTTCTGGAAACAACATTTATCTCACAGACAACACTTAAGAGTTGGCATAAAATCACTACAAACTTACTGAGCTCAAAACGAGTACCATAATTTTTCCACTTACCTTTAAGTAGGAACCATGCTCATCATCATAACAATTATTATTCTGGGTTTCAGGCAAACCTTCAATCTTTTTAGCTTCCAGGCCAAGAAACCAGAGCTCTGTATAATTGAAAATTTCTTTTTGCTCATAGACTGTTAACTGGTTTCTAAAATTTTTCAAGGCTTCTAAATCAGAAAACAAGAATGTAAAACCAAAAATCAATAAAATGTCAGAAACCTGATGGCAAAGTGCTTTTACAATGGAACATTTCACAGTAGAGCACACCACTTTGAGCAGGATGCTGAGAAATGCTGTTAGAGTTCCCTTCCAACTAAGATTCTTCTGCTTCTACAATTTCATACAAATTTCTGTTTATTTTCTTATTTTTTCTTAATACTTGTAGTATTAAGTTCAATAAAGCATTCATCATCTCTCAGCAAGACTTTTAAGAGAACTTAGGTAAAAATTATTTAATTGTGAGGGAAGTTATGTATATAGATGTTTTTGAAAATCCCATCTGTTTTCTATCTGCTCCCTCAGGCTCCACAACTCACATGAAAAGCTAAATTTTTATTGGTTTGATTGCCATATTTATAAAATATCAATACTATCTAGTAAACCAAAGCTTTCAAGTACCTGTTTTTCTGATAAAAATCATCAAGCTCAGATGCCTGACATTAGGAATTCAATAGAGCCCAAATCTGCTTTTCTCCTAGTCCTGATTCTTCCTGCATAGAATTTCAGCTGCCCTAACACCTCCACTCCCATCATTTAAATGTGGATATATATTCAGACAGAAGCATTATAAATCAATGTGTTGCATGCATATGTGGGTGTTTTGTTAAACAGTGGCAGATCTTCATCCAGCAATGCAAGGATGCTAAATCATTTCAAAGCAAAAGGCCACTACTTTTTTTCCCTATACTCCTTCTAGAAATAGATTAACTCTGTCAGAAACTTTCTAGATCCGAGAACTCCCAAAATGCAATGTAGCCCACATCAGTAAAATGGGACACAGCCACAAGGAAGTGGGAAAGGGTTTTATCCCTGTAATGGGATATTGCTGTCAGCTACCCCACCTAAGTCTTAGATAAATAAATACACATTCTTTTTCATACTGCATGTTTCTCTTCTGTATTTGTATTAGTCAAATCATTCTCCTGTTAGGTACCTCCCCAAGCTGGATAATTAAAAATCACTGAGTCCTATCCATATTGCTGTGCTCTAAATTGTTAAATATTTCAGCAGCCATTTAGCATGGCACCTCTGGTCCCTGAGAGTCCTGACTGTACACACTCCTCATCTGTGCAGGCAGCCTGTCACTCTAGACCTGTCAGTTTATCCAGGGATATTCTACCTGAAGCTGTCATAGGCAGTTTGACCCCAATGCTGGTGTTCTCCAGTTCAGATGGTTTTGTATGGACTCTGGTATCACTCTCAGGAAGACTGTCTGGAAGGTTAAATTGGGGAAAATTGCCTTGAGTTCCATTTTCCTGCCAAGCAGAAAAAAAAAAATTAAAAATTAAAACCTGCTGTATTCACAGAGACAAAGCTGCAATATATTTTAGATTAGTTGAGTAATCTCTATGTCAATTTTGTGCTGAGACAGAACAAGCAAGCTTGGGCACTAGAACACCCTGCTTATTCAGACAGCAAATTCTGTCAAAAGCACTAAAGGCTGTTGAACCATGGAAAGACAAATCTTTATAAACAAGAGAAGAAAGTTCATCTTCCAGATTCATTCAGTATATGGACTCTCTAGAAATTCTATTTATACCCATGCTGGTCAGCCTTGGAGGTCTGTGGAAAAACTCCTCTTGGAAACCATGTCAAACTAAGTGAAATACAGGAAATTGATTTGGAATAACCAGTATGGATATGCCAACAAATGGTGTCTGAATGACTTGGTTGTCTTCTCGGATGAAGTGATTGGCTTGACTAGTGGGAAAAAAGCAGTGAGCATCATGGACATTGCCTTGAGCAGGGCCTGTGACACTGGAGTCCAGTGAGTGGGAGATTAACTGGATAAATAGATAGTAATGTGAGCAGCCTGCTCCAAGTTTGCTCTGCTTGAATTGAGAGGTTGGGCCAGATGTCCTTCAGAGGTCTCTTCCAGCCTAAATGATTCATTAATTTATTTCTTTCTCATCCTTTGAGAAAGTTCTCATAGAAGTGGGGCTGGATGGAGACAAAATAATCTACTTCGGTGTATGAAGGGTACCAAAGCCATATTCAAAACCCAGCACATGGTTGCCAAGACAAGGAGAACCCAGGTGATGGGATATGAACTAACAAGTGGGCAAGCTGGGTCCACCATGCCCTTGCAAGAAGTCCTGACCACTTCAATACAAGCATCTTGGTGCTTGTGGGGTTTGAGTTAAGGATGTGTTCAAGTAAAAATGGGTTATTTTCAAAATGATGCATCTGTCCATACTTGTCTCTAATTCTGACACTTTATCTCTCTTCCCCCACACTTACACACTTGTGACACTTTGCCACTGACACTCTCTCAGTGGTACTTAAGAGAGACGCTGGTTCACCGGGCAAATGAGATGTCCAGGAGCTTTACAACTCACCTGAAGAGAGGGGAGGACACTCTGCAAGCTCTTATTTGCTATTTGAGGCAGGCTGCTCTCAAAGGGGGGAGGGTTTGAAGTGTCTGCAGCCAGACCATGCTTCACTTGACCTTCCAGATGTGGGAGGGAAAGGACACCACAACTGACTCTCTAAATAGAAAGCACAAGGAAATGTCACTTAACGACCTAGCAAGCAGTTCTGTGCCACAGCTATGAACACCAGAGGGATTTGAATCCTTGGAAAAGGTGTGTGGTTCACTTCCGACACCTAAAGGCAAAGGGGAAATGAGCAGATGCTAAGGCAGCTCCAGCTGTACTCATGGGCAGCAGGAGGTTGTCTGGGCAATCCAGCACGATTTTGGGAATGAGATTCCTCACAAGAACACTTCCATCCAGCATCAGAGCAGCTACAGCTGCTTCAGCTGCGAAGGGTGGTTGGGTTTGGAAGCCCAGCAGCCATTCCAGGCAGCAGGACTCCTGCAAGCAGGGAAAATAAAGCCCACATAAGGTAATAAGTAGGCATGAAGTGTCAATGGCAGAAAATATCATTTTCTATTCCCAGTGGCAGAAGAGAAACTAGGATTAGACTGCTGCCAAACACCAGGGGTGGACACAGTGGAAGTCTTCCCTGCACTGGTTTCTCCATATTTCTTTCCCCCTCATTTCCTATGGAGCTCAACCCTTTGTTGCACTCCTTATTAGTGAGGAAAAGGCAAGCTCTCAGCAAACTTTGCTTAAAAATAAATGCTTATGCTCATTTAAATAATTCAGGATTACTAGTCCTTCCTGACTTCTCCCATTTATTATTTGCAAAACACTTCTATATCATTTGTTTATTATAGTCAGTCATTTAAGGGTTCAGTTTTACGAATGTCTTGTATGTCTTTTATCAATGTCTTGAATATTTCAAGTCAGAGAAGTCACACTTGTAGCAGCAAAGAAAACTATTTCAGGTAGACTATTTCTTTGGCAAATAATAAGAAAATTATTTTAAGTGGTTCTGAAATAGATCAACTGTGCACTGTGAAATGCAGAATAAGGTCCAGAGAGCTAAAACTACAACCCACATAAACCTGTGAAATTTTTCTCTTCAGAGAAGCATAGAAACATATTTGGCAACAAAGATGAGGTTTGATATTTTCTCAAAAAGCAAAGGAGCAATGCTCTCAAGCCAATCAACTTCAATAAGTAAGTTTTTTATTCTAATACTGTGGAATAGCCTTTAAAACCTTAGAACTGGGACTGCAGTGGAGTTTTCCTGAAAGCTTCAAGAAACAAGTGGTCTGGCAGAAGAAACGCCTCAAATGATACTGAAAACAGCAAAACCAAAATACTTGCAGGCATTTGGGACAGTCATACAGCCACAGGGGAAATGGAAGAGGACAGGGAATAGAGGACTAGCCTCTGCCCATATTCATTTATTATAACAGATCACTTAAAAAACAAGCATTCAGGTATTTTTGAAGTCAGCTGAAGAGTCACGTACCTGATGGAAAACTCTGTTAGAGCCCAGATGATCCCTCTCTTGAACAGTCAGCTGAGACTGAGAAAAAGCATCCACATGGGAAGACTGCAAACATGAAGTGAAGCTTTAATAAAAATTATTCTGGAGGAAAAAAAATATGGAATCCCTGCATGGTTTCTGTTTTCCTCCTTTGTGGCAATGCCTGTGCCAACACAGGGTGTGAGAGAGGGCCACAAAAGCTGCTGAAAACACGTTACACTCTGGCAATGCCTCTCTCAGTTGAGCAGCTGTTTTGTGGGCTGGGGCAGAGACAGTTTATTTTGTTATTATGCCTCTCAGATGCTTGGTGTGCCCCTGTGCTCAGCCATGGCAAAGGGGGCCCTCTGCCATCCTTAAATATGTAGTGGAAGCTGGTAGTGAGTCTGCTTGGAAGGACAGCTTTAAACTGCCTCACAAGGTAGAATGTGAGCCCATACATTGCTAAAAGCGACATTAAACTGATTCATCTTGTGGTACAGATTTTATAAAAACAAAATCAGGGTTTAAGTTTACTGAAATATATAAAAATCCCCATTGAATCCAATGGGCAGATAGTATTAGCAAAAAACTCCATGGGGAAAGTGCTAAGCAGCTTACCATTTTAAAGAATTTGCTGATGCTTTCAGCAGTTTTTAATAAACATGCTAAGTAGAATCGTACATTTCTGCCCAATAACAAACTGCAATGAAATGAAGAAATCTCTAGGATAATTTAGACTGTGAAAACTCCGTGGCTAAAGCAGATTGGAACCCTCCTCTATGGGCTGGAGTGAACCCCACTGGGTTGGTTCAAAAAAGGGCTCCTTAAAGAGAGCTCTGTCTGAGCCTGGAAGAAGCAGGGACAACTCAGATTAGATGCTGCACCTGTGCCACTACACTGCAGATATCCATATATAGACATAGATATAGACATAGATATATATATAAGCTGTAGTGGGTGAGGGATGCTTGCGTGCAAACTGATCCACACACACTGTGACCTTGATATATGCAAGGTACGTTAGCATTGCCACAAACAAGGAGATCAAACTGAACATACCTTGACAATGGCTCTGGCACATCCCGCCCTGAACAGAATCACAGACTGGTTTTGGTTGGAAGGGACCTTAAAAACCAAGCAGTTCCAACCCCTACAGGGACACCTTCCACCACACCAGTTGCTCAGAGCCCCAGGCTCCAGTCATACACAGTTTCTCTTGGACAACCTGTGCCAGGGCCTCACCACCCTCACAGGGAGCAATTTCTTCCTCATATCCCAATCTAAACCTGCTCTCTGTCAGTGTGAAGCCATTGCCCCTTGTCCTGTCACTCCAGCCCTTGTCAAGAGTTTCTCTCCATCTTTCCTGTGGGTTCCCTTCAGGTACTGCAAGGCCACAATGAGGTCACCCCAAAGCCTCTTCTCCAGGCTGAACAATCCCAATTCCCTCAGCCTTTGCTCACAGCAGAGCTGCTCCATCCCTCTGATCACCTTGATGGCCTCCTCTCAACTGACTCCAAAGGCTGTGGCACATCCATCCTTTCATATGCATTTAGATTAGAGACTCTAAAAGACTTTTCCAAAATAAATATGGAGATAAAACTCTGTGTACAGATCTACCTGACCACACGGAGGAAATTCTGCCATATGACAGGTTCAGCTGTCTCACCATCAGCCAAAAAGACACCACTCAGGCTGGGCAGACCAGCTGGAAATTGCCCTTGAGGTAACGTTGCTCGGTGTGTTCTCTTCCTGCTCACAAATGAATAAACAAACCCTTCTGCAAGGGAAAACTTCAGATTTGGGACAAACTGTGAACAGCTCTGGCTTGAGATGAAGGGTCATGGGTGGCTGTGAAGCACAGGAGAATGGCAGGAAAGGGATAAGTACTAAAACATGTTTTTGTTGGACATGGTAATTTCCATCTTTGGAACTGGAACATCTTTTATCCCTTATCCCGGCCAGGGAAAAGGGATGATGTGCTGTAAATCCAAAATATTCCCAGTGCCATCACAGCAAATGCCACAGAAGAGGGCCGCTAGACTACTGCATCCTAAACAGAAGTGTCCTAGAGAACAACAGTTTGCCCAGAGCACCAAATATCCTTGTATGAATTTCTTTAGATGATGATTCCATGGAAAACTCAGCACCAGAGTATTTCTACAGACAATCTTCTCATGCAATCTATGTATCTTGCATTTCAAGGGACAGTCACATTTGTTACAAAGATGAATCTGGGACACACATTCAAAACTCTACTAATTATATCAGCCCAGCTCTTTGTAAGACTATTCATTTTAGTGCATGTTATACTTTCCCTCACACTTCATCCATACTTCATTCACAGCAAGCTATAATGTTCAGTTTCTGGAGCTGTTGTTTACATTTCATTTAAAGGTAGTTTCTTAACTGCCTCATGCTTTTCTAACTACAAGTCAATGCAAAGTCAGGATTTTATAGAGAAAAAGCTATTACTGAAAACTAAAGAAACAATGACTTCACATACCTGTGCAGACTGCAGAATCTTCACTCCAAAATGGCATTTTATTTCTTAGAAATACTTTTATAAAGCTAGGCAGTTGTGTCTATATTACTACATTTATTTTTTTTAAAGTAGATTTACTAACAGAGCATGAAAAATTAAAAAAATGTCTTTAAAACTGAGCAAGAGCTAAGGAAGAAGGTGAGTGGGCTCCAAGATGTGCTGACAGAATTTGGAATCCATTTAATTTCTATTCACTGGGGAAAGATTAACAGGATTTTGAGGTGGACATTTCCCCACTTACAGTGAAAAATCAAAACCAGTCTACACCTTTTTTAACCATGGAAATCTGTGATCCTCTTTGTCCCCCTTTCTCAAAACCTACTTACTAAGGATTTATTGCTCTTTAGACAATTTATTCAATAAAACCAGTAAGTGACCAACCTTCATAAAATTCCCCCAAATGGGTAAATAACATGAACTTTTATTTGTAGAAAAATTCATCTGTGCCTACACCAGTCCTGCTGGTGGCTGAATGGGGAGCAGGTGGATTTATTGGACAACCCACACAGTGGCTTTATTTGATGGTCTTGATCCAGGTGACCCAGCAGAGCTTCTCTAGCAAAACCCTGGAGTTGCCCTATGGGCTCTGCAGCTGAGCTGCTGTGGCTGGGTTTGTTGTGGGAGATGCACTCCAAAGGAAAACTGCAGCAACTGTTACTATTCCACTCCATTTCATTCCTGGTTTCTCTGCTCCTGTGGAACTCAGCCTTGTCCTACAGCTCCAATGCTGCAATCCCAGACTATCACCTCTTGCTATTTCAGCCATTCAAATCCTGGATCACCTTGCTCATTCCAGTTACCACCAAAGAAACAGAACAAGGTCCTTATCCACCACCTAGCCCGCAGTCACAAAGTTTTAGGTTTACAGCATTCTGTAAAATCAGACATCATGACACATGATGTCTGATTTTTCCATAATTCTCAAAATATCAGAGTATTTTTTTCAGTACCATGTTAACCATAGAAATCAGAAATGCATTAAAATTTTGGAAATTTTTAAATACACAACTACATAAAATAAAGACCCCATTGTCTCCTCATTCACATAGACATTCTCTTCCCCTGTTCTCAGAACTGAATGAAGCCTGTAGAATACATGGAGACGATACAATACAGGTGCTAAATCATGCAACACATTAAAAAGCCATAGCAAATACACTCTCTCACTCAAAATACAGTAGGAACACAAACATTTTCCCCACCTTGTCAACTATTTCTGTCAGCATTACTGCGAGAGCTGTAAAGTGCGGGATAGGAGCTGTTTATTCCATTCGGAGAAGGCATTTCAGGAAGCCCACCTTCATCTAGTCAGAGCATAGCAGGAGCAGTTCCATGCACAGTGCCCTGAGCAGAAAAAAATGGATAATGCTTCTGCTTGGCTTCAGATTTAAGTTTTTCTCCCGGAAATATGCCAGTGACTATTAGCTGCTCTAGTATTCTTTTGGTGGCCATCTGTTCCCTTTCTCAGCCTCCTTCTAGCCAAATATAATTTTCCATATTTATCATGGCAAGTCAGTAATAAGAAAGACAAATATAACAGGATTGGCTGTTCTCCTTGTCATCTCAGTCTGTTCTTTCTCACTGAGCTCATGTGCTTGCGAAACCAAAAAACACTTGAACTTGGATTTTGTCAAAATTTGTCACAGGGACCTTGCTATACAGTGAGCAAAACCTCTTCAACAAGACTGACAGACTGGAAAATGAAAATTAATTAATTTCTCAAGGGTTGGTTTCTCGTTGGGCATTATATGTCAATTAATGACGACCAAACTGTGGTACCTTGGTCCGTGGTTCTTGAGGGCATTGGTACAGAGCTGCTCTGCTCTGTGGGATAATGAGAGTGTGGGTTATTTTGGTGCAGATAATGAGACAGAGCTTAGCTGCCCTCCTGTCTTTCCTCTTCCATCTTTAGATGCTGTGTATTTGTGATGGGGCACTGATGGAGGCGTCCCTATTCCCCAGCTGTCTTAAGGGAATATCTAAAGTGAAAATACAGTGTGGTCTCCTCCTTCATACAGCCAAAGAATGACATGTTCCCTGCTGGTCTGAAATCTGTCAACAACCCAGCATAATTCTACTTTCACTCCGAAACCAGGGTTTTCAAGGAGGAAATACATGCTCCTCCACTGAAGGCTGCTGCTTTTACAGATGCTGTTGGAATGGTCAAAGGACAAACAGTTATTCCTTTGCACTCATGGTTATCTGCAAAGCCTTTCCTCATGTAATTATTGGGCTGAACCTTCCTTAAAGCCACATTGCTCCCACTTCCATCACTCCCACTTTTCCATTCATCCAAGCTTGGCAACCCTCTAAGCAACAAATCCGCCCCAGTATTATAAACCTCACGTTCAAGAGAAAGTTCTCATTTTCTCACCAAACAACCACTCAGGCTGTTGTGCCAGCTGGGTAGATATGCTGATCATAGAGTCCTAGAATGGCTGGAGTTGGCAGGGACCTTAAAGATCATCTCATTCCAATCCCCTGCCATGACCAGGGATACCTTCCACTATCCCAGGTTTCTCCAAGCCTTGGCCAGCCTGGCCTTGGACTCTTCCAGGGATGGGGCAGCCACAGCTTCTCTGGGCAACCTGTGCCAGGGCCTCAGCACCCTCACAGGGAACAATTTCTTCCCAAAATCCCACCTAAACCCTCAGTGGGAATCCATTCCCCCTTGTCCTGTCACTCCAGGCCCTTGTCAATTAGCAGTTCCAGAATGGCCTCCATAGAAAAGAGTGAAATACAGATTTACCCATGTTTCAGCCATCCCCCATTTAGAAGAACATCCTTTACTTTATTTTCTTTATTTTCTTTCTTGGCAATGTTTTCTCTCCTCATTTTAAACATATTCAAATTTGCTGTGATAAGTCACACAGGAATAAAAACAGCCTTCAGAATCATTCTTTTGTATTATCTGAAGAGGACCAACTAATTTTTGGTGACATAAGACATTGAATACAGTTTTCTCCTCCATTTCTCAACAATACTCTCAGAGCAAGAGAAACTGGCCAGTGTTCTTACTAAGTTTCAGTCATGCTACATTGAAGTAAAAAGTAGTACGTAAAATGTTTCAGCTATAAATTTCAAAGCAGTGTTTTTTAAGTTTGAAGGAAAGATCCGTGATCTTTGTAACTAATTTTTTAAAATTACCCACTTCTGAAAGACATTTAATTAAAGGAGTTAAGTGCAATAGTACATAAATTCCTTATGGATATTGTCACTGGCTGTGATCATCACACAGACAACATCTTTAACAAATTTTTAAGTTTGGCAACATCTCTGTGAAGAAGAATAGTATTAGTGGTAAAGGAAATTAAAGAGGTTTACCTGTAAAGAAAACCCCCTGCATCGTAGAGTCAGAAGAGAATTCATTCCATTTTAGCTAAACATTCAAGGTAAACAAACTTCCCTGTAGAAGCCCCCCTGTCTTTTTATTGGCTTGCCTTGAGAAAGAGCCTGTTCCAATAATGTAGACTAGATATCCCAAACTTTTACATCCCTAGAATTAGATTAATTCTAGTCTTTATAGCATTTACTCTGCTTCTCCTGCACTTCAGTCTTCCATTTACTCTGCTCTCCTGCACTTCTTCTGAGTGAGGGCAAAAAACAGAGGGACAATGAACTGAGCCCTGTCTCAGTGCTTGGCTGTGACATCCATCCGAGCTTGAGTAGCGCCACAGGGAACATCCAAAGCTGCCACTGCAGGCTGAACCAGGAAAGATAAATACCAAATTCCCAATGTGAGTGGCGTTGACAGAAAACTTCTTAAACCACTCCTGCTCTATTTGCTCTACTAAAGCATAGGAAGTATGCTTTTTGCCTTTTGCAAAATCAGTGCAAAGGGAGTGGGTGATTTAAGGTTTTGCATACATTTACTTGGGCAAAGAACCCACCAGATGAACCCATCTGTCCAAGTCTGATAGAAATAGAAAAGCCAGTCATGGGTTCTGGCTCCTTCAGAATGTTTCTTCCACAGAGGAGTGCAAAAGCCTGGGATATGATAAAGTCAATATTCTAAATAAATTTAAATAAGTTGCTAGCATATTGGCTCTTTAAAGTTTGTTAACAATTCTTATCAAAGATCTGCTCTTTCTCCTAGCAAACAAGGAAAAAAAATTACAACGTTGTTTGTTCTAAATGTTCTCAGGAGGTGGATAAGAATCGTGAATGCAATTTTACATAGGAGGGAATTAAGGCACTGTGTTGCTAAGGATGTAATTGCCAGAACCTTTTGAGATAATTCCTAACATCTGAGTAAGTGTCCTTGAGTGAATTCAAATAGAATTTGGGGACATGGGGATTTTCCAAGCAGCTCTCTGACTGTATAAAGCCAAATGGACCCCAGCAACATCATAATTTCTAGAAAACAGACTGGGCAAAGAAATGACAGCCCAGAAATCAGTGCTCCAACTGATTTTTCTAATGCATCAATCTGTTCTCAGGACTATTCCAAGAACAGAAAATATGGTTATTCCTGGACTCACAAACTGAAGAGGAATCACATGAGAAGCAGGAATTGGATATGAACCAGATAAGCTGACTTAAATCAAGTGGGGTGCACAGATGAAATGTAGGTCTAAGATATGTTGAAAAGTCATAGGCAAAAAAAAAACCCACAAAATTTGATAGGCAAATATATCATATTTGATATCATATCTCCTGAGTTGGAAGGGACCCACATGCATCTTCCAGTCCAGCTCCTGGCTCTGCACAGACACCCCAACAATCCCACCCTGTGCCTGAGAGCTCTGTCCAAACACTCCTGGAGCTCTGGCAGCCTTGGGGCTGTGACCATTCCCTGGGGAGCCTGTTCAGTGCCCCAGCACCCTCTGGGGGAAGAACCTTTTCGTGATACCCACCCTAACCCTCCCCTGACAGAGCTCTCACCATTCCCTCAGATCCTGTCCGTGGTCACACAGAGCAGAGATCAGGGCCTGTCCCTCCTCTTCCCCTCGTGAGGAAGCTGCAGAACTGCTGTGAGCTCTGACCTCAGTCTGCTCTTCCCCAGATGAACAGACCAAGTGCCCTCAGCTGCTCCTTGTGTGGCTTCACCTCCAGGCCCTTCACCCTCTCCATGTCCCTCCTTTGGGCATCCTCTAACAACTTCAGATTATTCTTATATTGCAGCACCTAAAACCACACAGAATATTCAAGGTGAGGCCAACCCAGCCCAGAGCAGAGCAGGACAATCCCCTCGCTGGCCCCACCAGTGATGCTGGGTTTGGTAAGATCGTGATCATGATGGAAAGGATTTTTGGCTTTTTTTTTTGTCAAGCCCTGAAAGCTTTGCAAGAACAAGCTTCAAGAAAGACCTCCATGCTTCTACCCATTTGCAGGTGAAACGTGGGGAGAGCCTGTGTTATCCCTGTGCTGCCTGGAAGTGGAAGCTGGAGGCTGATCCAGGAGAACCCAGGCCTCTCAGTCCTTGTGTAGTTCATAATTGCAATTGCTAAATACCTCCCCAAATCCTACTGATATCACACATTCACCTGTGTATTCAGATATGCTTCCTTAATAATGCCCTCTGAAGAGAAAAAACAGTGAAATAATTTCTCAACTTCATCACTTCAGAGGGGTTACACTGTATGAAATCAGTACCTCAGCAATGAGCGACCATTCACAGTGATTTTTCTCCAGAAAGTCACTTTAAACAAAAGCATCAAATGTCAGTTTTAAACTTAGAAACACACTTTTTAAAAATAATGTAGGACTTCTGATTTCAGAGTAATGCAGCTCACTGTATTTCTATAAAGCATCTTTCTTTTCCTCTAAAATAAAAAATAGACCAACTGTCTACAGTATACATATATTTTTTAATATACCACAAAGGCTTTCACTTAAACCTAAAGGTCAATCTGAAATCTTTTGCAGAACCCTAGGTACTCTGAGAATCTATAAATTAATTATTTGCTTACTATTTATGCAGAAACCTGTAAGATACCCCTGTAATTTAAAAATGTTGATTTCTTATCTTTGCAGCAATAGTAATGATACTGCTTTCATTAAAAATTGCCATCATAAAATCATTGATTCATAGAGTATCCTGAACTGGAAGGGACCCACAAGGATCACTGAAGCTCTGCACAGGATAGTCTCAAGAATCACACATCTTAATTCTACTTCTCCAAATAAATTTAAATAATGATTAATGTAATAAAAATATCATACGGAATTGATGTCAGATGATACAACGGACCAAACTATCTCCTTTCTGTTTATTTTCAGTTCCTCACAACAGGTATGTCACAACCTAATACAAACATTTGTACATCAAACAATAAAACAAAAATGCCAACCATGATTACCTTAGGCTGGACTCTTTTATTTCTTCTCACTTGTAGACAAGAGTTACTGAAGAAGCTGAAAT